CATTAGAGAAGAACCTATCCAGAAGACCTACACAATTTTTTTCTTTTTGATTTATTTGTATGTATGGATCACTTGGGTTGTTACCGACATCGGGTGAAAATTTCATGTCATTAGCACCTCTAGTAATATATTTACTGAGAAAAATGGTGACGTGTTCAATACTTATTTTACCCGCTGTACACACGAAGATGTTAAAACAAATAAATCAACCCTACAAATGTGTGGCAAACAGTGAGCGGCAGACTTGCAGTGCTGGTGTGCACTGAACGAGGCCACAGCATGTGTTTATTTCTTCATAGTTTGGGATTAGCAATAAATTCACTGTGCATACAAATCTGACAAGAAAAACAAGATTAAAATGAAATCAGTTCGTGTTTAAACTTACGTGCTGTGGCTCGTCTTCTGCTGACATGGCGTTATTCACACACAGAGCCTCGAGGAATTTCTGCTTCAGGATGATGTAACGAAACCTGAGGATAAATTTCAGGGTTTTTTTGAGTTTACATGCAACTTAAAAAAATKAAATTTGTTGTTATTGGCCTTAAACACGAAGAAGATTCAGCGAGCTCACCTTTTTCTGTCAAACTTGTCCATACACTCCAGAGGCTGAATGAACTGAAGGACCTCGTCCCACTGCCCATCAAGGATCAACTGCCTAAAACAAAAAACAAATACCGTGTTTTCAGATCTAGGTCCATAAATGTGTCAATGAGTCATGACAAAAGAAAACAATCTGAATATTTTTACCTCTATTTTCCCAGGACAAGAATCAATTTACAAGGTAATCCCTAAAACTAACGACTTTGGTTGAGAGGAAACTGGAGACAACACACTGTTAGCTCAAATTCAAGGCGGCCGGTATTATTGCAGGCGTGTAATCAAACCCAATCTGAAGTGTAGCAGATGCAATGCTGCACTTCCTGCCGCTGACAGAACAGCGCGGCCGGCGCCGTCTCGCATATTTACCGGAGGAACAGCATGTCGTCGGAGTAGAGTCCGTTGATGACGCCGCTCTCCTTCTCCAGGGCGAGCATGCTGATGTGCAGCTTCCTGGAGTGGAGGAAGTCCAAGATCACCTTGATGACCTCCACCTCCTTCACGTTTATGGTTTCTTCGGCTGTCATGGTGACGACAGGCGGTCAGCGGTGTGAACGGGGGACTAAACACGAGGAACAGGAAAACAAACGAAATAGGAGTTATCATACTTTTTTTTAAGGTTTGAGGATACAGGTACATCACTGCTCTGAGGTCAGGCTTTGTTTGCATCTCCTGATGGGAATAAATGCAATAAATTGAAACAATAAATGTCAGTCTGTCCACGTATTTTTAGGTAAACACTAAAACAAAAAAAAAMAAACATCTCATTCTGGTGTAATTAGCCAACTCTAAAATCTGTTTAGAGTCAAAAAGAGGATCAGATGATTGAGTGAAAACAGATTAACAGCAGAGACTGGTATGCAAAACAGCTTAAAATGAGATAAGGCCTCTGTTTTTAGGCTAAGAATCAATGGTTTAGTTCCAAACAGACACATTGTCATTGAGGTTAATTAGTAACATGCATGAAAACTGCACATACTTCATGAAAAGCTATATCTGACAGCTAATCTGGGTGATCAAGCAGCTTTATACAAAAACTACTTCATTAATTAAAACCTCTCATTGTGAGATAACCAGTTTCAATTAACATAAATGTTTGATCTTAGTGACTTAAATAAAAAATGTAAAAATCCAGCCTTTATGTTTAAAAAACAGTGATGCGTTTAAGGGTTTTCAGTCAAAACAGTACTCATGTTTACAGCCCCTCCACATCTTTTTATACACACATAAAAACACTTTCTTGGTTGTCATTACCTTTGTTGCTCTTTATCAATTTAAAAGGTTGTTCTTTTCACCATAAGCGCCGTAAATTAGCCAAAAAGCTACAGTAAATATCTAAACAGAAGCAGTGCAGTCCTGGTGAATTAGCCGGAGATGGTTAGCCAACAACAACCGACTCTCTAAGCCACAAACAGTAAGAAGATTAAGCTACTTGTTAGCGCCACTGAATTTAGCCGCCGGATTACAGCAAAACCATCAAATGGCTAGTTAGTGTCAAAGCTCACACAAAGCTGGCTAATTTTACAAGCGGGGCGGTCGGAGCGGGAGGCTGAAGAGCAAGGCAGGCCGAGGAGGGGAGAGGCATGATCCGCTAGTTTTGGGCAGGACGGGCGGGGTGACGGCGGGCTTTAACAACACAAATCAGCCGCGGTGCTGTTTATTAATGCTCACCTGTTTCTATGAATGCATGGGACGATAAAAGCGCTGTTCCAGGAGGGCTTCCAAGTCTCTGACAGGCGGTGTCACGTCGGTACCGCTCAGTCAGCGCCGTGTTCTGTCTGGACCTCCTTCCTGCTKCTGGACGGACTGACTGCGGTCTGGAGCTGCCTGCCTGCCGGGGCACCGCCTCCATCCATCCGTCCTCCACACTAACTTCACACAAAACCACCGTACACTGGCTTATCATGATAACACAACTGTCTGTAAACAAATACTATTATTTTATCCATCCATAATCAATAAATAGCATTAATATTAATTAATAAAATGCACATTAGCCATGTATGCATTTATGTGCGACACAGGGGCGTGCATAAAAGTGGATTTAGGGGGGCTTTTCATTTTGAAGGGTGGGGTGGACTACGTTTTTTAAGCTAAAAACCAAGATTACATGCGCACTGTATGTATGTATGTATGTATGTATGTATGTATGTATGTATGTATGTATGTATGTATGTATGTATGTATGTATGTATGTATG